GATTGTGCAGATGAGCCCAATGTGATCCCACAAATAACAGAGAAATCTCTCCATCCAGCTGCGGAAGACTAAGGCAGAATGAAGCAGAAGCTGGGGACGGGCACGCAGAATTGTACTCCCAGCACTCAGAGGCTGGAGCAGAAGGATTTCGAGTTTCAAATCAGCAGGACCTTGTCTCACAAAACAAAACAAACAAACCCAAATAAGGGCAAGGAAGATGGTTCAGTTGGTAGTGTTTGCTGCAGAAGCATGAGGACCTGGATTTGAATAGCTAGCACCCATGGGAGAGATGGGCATACGGCCTGGGATGACCAAGGACGACAGGGCTTGTGGGGCAGCCAGGCTGCCAAATTCATGAATTCCACATTCAGCGAGAGTATGTCTTAAAAAAGAAGGTGGTAGCTCTGCTAGGGGTGGTGGCTCAAGCCTTTAATCCCAGCATTTGGGAAGCAGAAACAGGCAGAACTCTGTGAGTTTCGGGCTATCCTGGTCTACATAGTAAGCTCCTGGCCAATCGGTTATATAGGGAGACCCTGTCTCAAAAAAAAAAAAAAACATACAAACAAAAGAGACAATAAAATAGTAAGGCAGAGAAATGATTGAGGAAAACCCCTGATGTTGACTCTGGATCCCACACGTGTGCCCACATAGGCCCATGCACCTGGTAAGGCTTCTGTGGCTGAAGTCTGACGGACTAGGGAGGAGACGGAGACAGCAGAGAGACCAAGACAAAGGCTGACTCGGGGCAGGAAGGCTTCTGCTGGGCTGCACCAGCAGTCCAGAACTGACTGGTCTCCACCACTCCTCAGCTCCTCAGTGCAGTCCAGAATGCGGCTGCTCCCTCTGCTTCAGCCTCAACCCTAGCCAGAAGTGCTCTCCTCCCCTGAGGAAGCCATCTTCTTTCTGTGCTGGCCCTGAGACTCCTGCCTCCATCTTCCAGATGCTTAGGTCACAAGTGTGCACACACATAGCCTTTCCCTTCTTCCCTTTTTCCCTTTCCCCCTCTTGCCCTTCCTCCCCCCCTTTCTTTCCTCCCTTTTGCTTTTCCTGCCACCCCTTCCTTTCCTGGGGACTGAGCCCAGGGTGAGCCCGTTTCTTCACAGGGGATAATAACCACAGCCCACAGATGGAAAGCTGACGCCAGCTTTTGTCTTAGCGCCAGGGCCTATGAATCTGCACTCACCAGTTACACAAGAGCTGGCAGGAAACAGAGTTAAGGGAACAGAGAGAAAAAGATGCGTGAGGGACAGAGATCAAGACTTCAAGACACTACTGTAGGCGTGATGACCCATGCCTTCAATCCAGCGTTCAGGAACAGAGGCATTTGAGGCCAGCCTGGTCTACACAATGAGTTTCCAGCACAGCCAGGGCTACACAGATAGATCCTGTATCTAAATAAATAAATAAATAGAAGAAAAACAAAAAGACTGGGGGCTGGAGAGATGGCTCAGAGGTGAAGAGCATTGCCTGCTCTTCTAAAGGTCCTGAGTTCAATTTCCAGCAACCACATGGTGGCTCACAACCATCTGTAATGAGGTTTGATGCCCTCTTCTGACCTGCAGTCGTACACACAGACAGAATATTGTATACATAATAAATAAATAAATAAATAAATAAATAAATAAATAAATATTTTTTTTAAAAAAAGACTTACTGACAGTACTCTGAAAATAAAACTGGACACAGACATCCCAGGGAAATGACACACACATATTCTTATGAAGGGGTGTGGAGGCGTAGCTCAGCTGGTAGGGTACTTGTGTAACAAGCACTCAGCGCTGGGCTGGATCCCAGCACCACACCAAGTGGATATAGTAAGGTAAGGCACACCTGTACTCACAGGGCTCAGGAAGAGCAAGGAGGGGATCAGAAGCTGAAAGTCATCCTTGGCTGCACAGCTAGTTTGAGGCCTACCTGGGTCACACAAGATCCTGTCTCGAGGGAAAAAAATCCTGGGCTAGAGAAATGGCTCAGCAGTTAACAACACTGACTGCTCTTGTAGAGGACCTGGGCTCAGTTCCCAGCACCCACATGGTGGGATCACAACCGCTGTAACTCCAGATCCTGGGTATCCAATGCCCTCTTCTGACCTCTGCAGCAGCAAGCACACATCTGGTGCACACACACATACACAGGCAAACCACTCAAGCATTAAAATGAAATCTTTTTTTTTGTGACAGGGTTTCTCTGTGTAATAGTCCTGACTGTCCTGGAACTCACTCCACAGACCAAGCTGGCCTCAGACTTGCAGAGATCCACCTGCCTACTTTTGCCTTACCCAGCTTTTTTATTTTTATTTATTTTATTTATTTTTTTAGGGTTTCTCTATATAGCCCTGACTGTCCTGGGACTCATTTTGTAGATCAGGCTGGCCTTGAACTAAAATCAATAAATCTTAAAAAAAACAAAGCCAAAAAACCTTAGGGAATACAGACACAGAAATCTCCAATAAAATATTAGCAAAGCAAATCCAACCCAACATCATGTGAAAAAGTATTATATGACATGGCCAAGTAGTATTTATCCCAGTAATACAAGTTTGGTTTACTATCCAGAAGTCAAATACAGATTATTAGTAGAATAAAGAACAAAAGCCATAGAATAATCACAACAGACACAGAAAATACATTTGATAAAATGTAACTCGCTTTCATATAGGAAACAGCACATTAGAGACTTGAGATGCAGATGTAGAGCGCGTGTTTTGGCATGAACTTGAGGTGCGGGTGTAGAACGTGTGTTTTAGCATGAACAAAGGCCTGATTTGATCCCAAGCACCAAATAAACCAAGCATGGTGGTCACCAGCCAGCAATTCCAGCACTCAGGAGGCTCAGAAGTTCAATGTCATTCTAGGCTACTGAATTCCAAGCCACGCTAGACCCCGTGAAACCTCTTTTTAATAAAAGGCTCAGCACAATAGGAGTGAAAGGGAATGTCCTCGTTATATCAGAAGACTGTACTGATCCAAAAGCAAAACAGATGAAACGACCCACTTAAGCCATTCTCTAAGTCTAGCACCTGAGAAGCAGAGGGGAAGAAGGTCCCAGGCTAGCCATGGCTACATAGGGAGTTTGAGGCCAGGGGAGACTGTATGAGACCCTGTTCCAAAATGAAACTAAATGTAGTGAAGGAAAAAACAATTCATTTGTAATAGCAACAAAAAGAATAATTTGTTATAAATTTTACAACAGAAGTGTAAGATTTATAGATAAAATGAAAAATACTGTTGAAAGAAAGATCTAGAGTGTGACTAGAGAGGTGGCCTGGAGGTTAAGAGCACTGGCTGCTCCTCCAGAGGTCCTGGACTAGATTCCCAGGTAACATAACTACACACACACTGTAACTCCAGTTCCAGGGAATCCAACACCTCCTTGGGCATTGCATGCACATTGTGCACAAACAAAACACACCCCAGCAAAACACCCATGCATACAATAAAAATAAATCTTTGAGGTCAGGTGGCAGTGGTGCATGCCTTTAATCCCTGCACTTGGGAGGCAGAGGCAGGTGGACTGCCTGTTCTGCAGTTTGTTCCAGGACAGCCAGGGCTACACAAAGAAACCTGTCTTGAAAAACATCCCCCCCACACACACACAAAAAAAAAGAAAAAATCTTTAAAAAAAAAAAAAAAAAAAAAGAAAAAAAGAAAAAAAAAAAAAAAAAAAAGCAGTGTATGAGCACCAACAGCAGACTTAATCGTGCAGAATAAAGCATCCATGAAAAAAAAAAGAAAAAATCTTTAAAAATTAAAATAAATATCTAATTAAATTTAAAACTTCCCACGCTCACAGATCAGAAAACATAATATTGTTAAGATGGTAATATGCCACAAATGATCAACTGATTCACTACAACTACCAAAGCCTAAACTATCTTTTTGAATTTCTTTTTTTTTTTTTTGGCTCCCCGTCGGGGAATCGAACCCCGGTCTCCCGCGTGACCTTTTTGAATTTCTTGACAGCAAAATCTGACAATCTGATCCAAAAGTCCAAATGGACATAAGTGTGATGACATACGTCTATAATTTCCAGCACTTGGAGGCTGAGGCAGGAGGGGGATGGAGGGTTCGAAGCCAGCAAGGGTTACATAGTGAATTTGGGAACCACCATGCAGCTCTCAAACACAGTCCTCAAAAAAACTACAAAGTAAAATGAGAAATGGAACTGTAAGACCAGAAAAAAAAAAAAAAAAAAAACAACAAAAACAAACTCTTGAGGTAAAATAAGTTGGGAGAAAAAAAAAAAGTAACAAAGTTGGAAGTCTCATAGGCCCTGATTTGAAGTTCCTATAAAATTGTACTAATCAGGGGCTGGAGAATGACTCAGTGACTAGGAGCACTTATCGCAGAGGTCTAGGGTTCAGTTCCCAGCATCTACATGGTCATTGGCAACCATCCGTAGCAACAGTTCTGGGGGACCCAACACCTTCTGAGTGCACAGACGTACACGCAGTCAAAATACTTAGAAATAAGCCGGGCGGTGGTGGCGCACGCCTTTAATCCCAGCACTCGGGAGGCAGAGGCAGGCGGATCTCTGTGAGTTCGAGGCCAGCCTGGTCTACCAAGAGCTAGTTCCAGGACAGGAACCAAAAGCTACGGAGAAACCCTGTCTCGAAAAATCAAAAAAAAAAAAAAAAGGGGGGGGGGCTGGAGAGATGGCTCAGTGGTTAAGAGCATTGCCTGCTCTTCCAAAGGTCCTGAGTTCAATTCCCAGCAACCACATGGTGGCTCACAACCATCTGTAAAGAGGTCTGGCGCCCTCTTCTGGCCTTCAGGCATACAGACATACAGACAGAATATTGTATACTAATAAATAAATAAATATTAAAAAAAGAAAACCCATTTAAAAAAAAAGAAAGAAATCTTTTAAAAATCCTACAATAATTAAAATAGTGTGGTTTGGCATAATGGCAGACATGAAGGTGTGGCCTAGATGGAGCATTTGCCTGGCATGAGCCAGGCCTTGGGCTTGATCCCCAGCTACAAACCAAACGAAACCCCTCATATTTACAGGTATTTTATTTATTTTTTTAAGAAAGCCAAGACAATTCAATAGACAAAGAATGGTCTTTTTAACAGATGCTTTTGAAGCTGAAAATCCATAGGCAAAAAATGAAGTTGAACCACCTGCTTTAAACCATTTACAGAAATGAACTCAAAACAAGCCAAGTATCTTAAGTCTAAGGGTTTCTAGCTATAAAAACATACATAGCTTGTAAAAATACATTTACGGCAGCTGGAGGAATGGCTCCGCTGTTAAGAACTTGCTGCCACATCGGGTGGCTCACAATTGCTTGTAATTCCAGCTCCAGGGGACCCGACACCCTCTATGAACACCTGCACTGACATGCATATAACCCACATATAAACATGATTAAAAATTAAAAACAGAAAGTTTGTAAGTAAATTATGAACTTTCTGACTGTTTTAATTGTGTGTCTCTGTGTGTGTTTGTGTGCATTTGTGTCAAGAGGGCACGGCAGGTCAAGAGGGGGACTTTCTGTAGTGAATTCTCTGCTTCGACAATGTAGGTTCCAGTGATCAAACTCAGGTCAGCAGCCTTGGTGGCTTTACGAGATGAGCCATCTCAGCGTCCACTAGGACTAGTGTTAAAGACCCATGCCCTCCCCTCCCCCCAGAGAACTTATTTTTATTATACCAAAGTCCTTATTAAGAGCTAAGTAAATGCTCTACCACGGAACTACACTCTCAACTCTAAAGACCCCCCCCCATTTTAGACTCTGTGTGTGTGTGTGTGTGCATGTACCACGTTCCTTGTGGGAGGTCAGAGGACATCTAAGAACCAGTTCTCCCCTTCCACATGCGGTTCTTGGCTATAGAACTTGGGTTGTCAAACTTGGTGGCAAATACATTTTATTGGTTGGGCCATCTTCATGAACCCAGAAGATTTCCCTCTAAACACTACTTTCTGCTCTCTTTGCCATTAAGACTGTCTCCTGGGGCTCACTACCTGGTTTACCATTCCTGAACTATGGCTGCTGGCTGTAATGTCCCCCATGACTAGCACGTGAGCTTGCAGGTGAGCTTCCCAACACTGCCAATGTGGTGGTTCTCAGCTCTTACAAGAGCACAGAATTCCAGTCTGATGGGACACGGCTGTAGTCTCCGCCCTTAGGACGCTGAGGCAAGAGAATCACCTCAAGTTCAAGGCTAGTCTGGGCTAACAGGGAGATGAGAGAGGAGGGGGCTGTATAGCAAGATTCTGTCTCAAAGAGGAGGAAAAGAAAAGGAAGAGCTAAGGAAGGGAGTTCTGGCTCACTTAGGGCTACAGCTACAATGGAAAGGGGGCGCTATAATGTATGACCTAGAATCTTCTTCAGCAGCCTGCTAGGTGGGCAGAGTGGCTCAGCAGGTAAAGGAGCTTGCTGCCATCCCTAGGTCCCAAATGGTGGAACACTGACTCCCAAGCTGTCCTCTGACTCCATGTGTGCACCATGGTACACGGGCCCACACACACATGTGCACACACACAAGATAAGTATAAATGTAATTTTTTTTGGTGGGGGGGGTTAGAGACAGTGTTCCTCTGTGTAGCCCTGGTTGTCCTGGAACTCATTCTGTAGACCAGGCTGGCCTCGAACTCAGACATCATGCCAGCCTGTTTCCCAAGTGCTAGGATTAAAAGTGTATGCCACCACTGCCTGTCTAACTATAAAGTTTTTTAAAAGATGCATTCCATGAGAATCTGAGGACGTATGTAACCTGACCCTAAGGAGAGCATGCTAATGACTTCTGTCCTTCTATGCTCTAAAATTCTGTCTGCAAATTTTAGCCTCACCCTGGTTTTTTCTTTTTTTGGGTTTTGTTTTTTGAGACAGGGTTTCTCTGCGTAACAGGCTTTTTGTTTTAAATTATTGTTTTGATTTGAAACACAGTCTCATTTCACTTGAGACCCCTCCGAATCTGCCATGTAGCCACGGCTGGCCTTCAAATCCTGATCACCTGCTCCCACCTTCCCTGTGCTGGGATTACAGGCATATGGGCGACACCTGAACAACCCATGTCCTGGGTATCTTCCCTGTGTGTGTGTTCATGCATGCAAGTATGCTCACGTGATGATGGAGATGAAATCCGTGGCCTCATCCAGACATTTTTCAGGGAAGCTATGGACTACTCTATCTCTTCCCCAGTGATATGAACATCACATCTGTCATTAAAAAACTCACAGAAACTGTCAGTCATCCCAGCACTTCAGATGCTGAGTGAAAACACTCAAGGGCCACCCTGGGCTACACAGCAAGACTGTCAAAAAAAAAAAAAAACAAAACAAACCAAACCAACCAACCAAACAAAAAGACCAAAGGAATGAATGATAAATGTGTTGGGCTTGGTGGTACAAGTCTGTCCCAGCTGCTCAGCAGGCGGAAGTCTAGTCAACTTTGTCTCAAAATAAAGACGACAGAGGGCTGGACATCAGCACTGCAGTGAGTTCACAGACACACTCAGGCTGCTTCCGGATCTTCTCACTCTACTGGCTGACTTTTATTTTTGTACCAATCACATATTTTCTATTCTAATACTTTGGTTTTTAGCATCAAACTATCACCTCTGTTTTTTTTTTTTTGTTTGTTTGTTTGTTTTAAATTATCATGGGCTGGAGGTGTAGCTCAGTGGTAGAGCGAGTGCTAATCATGTTCCACATGAGCTTTGGATTTTCAGACTGGGGACTGAAAAGTCCTTTGGGCTCTTTCTGTACACCATAATGGCACAGCTAATGTGCTGCTGGATGCTTCCAAAACCATCAATAATGCCAAACAGGCAAACATCAGGCTGGTAGCAAGCCACATGCCCAAGTTATCTTCATTTTCTAGCTGTAGTGACATATGACCATACTGAAAACACTGATGGTCACAGCCCTGGGAAGATTGCTGTGAACTTCACAGGCCGGTCAGAGTCTGGACAGCAAAGAGCCCCAGGTTTGATACAAATCTCACTAATCTGGGGAGATGACAAACTAATCTGCTCCCAAGTTTGGTTTCACTGCGCTGACAACCAGCTAGCACCACACAGGTTAGGGAAACCCTTAGGTTTTGTTTCCCCTACAAACAAAAGACAGTCAGGTGTGATGGCATACGCTTGGGAAGCTAAGGCAGAGTACCAGTTTCAGGGCATCTTGGGCTGCACTGTGAATTTAATGCTAGCCATAGCTGCATAGGCAGTGAATTTAAAGATTAAACTGGGAAAGTCAACTTCTTCCTCCTAATGCTGTGGATAGAACCCAGGACCTCACACATAGAAGGCAAGTGCTCCTCCACCAAGATAAAACCCTGTGTCCTACAACTCCTGATGGACACCAAGATTGCCTTGAACTCACAGCGATCCCCTTACCTATCAGCTCCTGGCTATCCTGAAACACACTATGCAGACCAGGCTGGTCTCAGAGACCCGCCTGACTCTGCCTCCTGAGTGCTGGGATTAAAGATGCGCACCACCATGCCCAGCCAGCACTTTTAAAACGAGGTTTATTCCTTTGTAGTTCATGGGTTTTGATGTGAAGAGGGATCTTTTTCTCCTCCAACCATGTCTCCTAATGTGCTACTGTGACAAACAGAAAAGATCATCTTTTTTTAGCTGTCTCACACCCAGGGAAGAATTTTTTTAAAGGTAGCTGGAGAGACATGCTGGGTACTTTTTTACTGTGAGCCTTAGCCTTTAGCAGTGGAGCCATTCCTCCAGCCAATTGCTTAAGCCCGGCTTACTATCTTAAGCAGATAGAAGCACTCAGTAAAGGTTTCATTATATCCTGAGTGTAGGCTAAGCAAAGCTACACAGGTTTTTCATTGCAGGACTTCAATACACCTTTTAATCAGCAAGAATTCTCAAGAGGCATAGACACACTCCTGTCCTGATTGACCACTGAAAGCTCTTTCACAAGAAACCCAAAATATACTTTGGCAAACAATGAATTAATTGCAAGACCCTTCTAGGAACCATTTGTGGTGGTAAACACCTGGAATCCTCGTATTTGGGAGGCTGAGGCAGGGGAATTGGTTGAGTTCAAGGGGAGCCTGGGCTATACAGTGAATTCTGGATCAGGCTAAGTCGTGAGAGCCTGTCACAAAAGAAACCACCACCAAGACCCTTATAATTTCTATTAATCCGGAACCTCCACTGAAGTTTAACTCAGCCAGAATACAGAAGACGGCTTGCTGTCAAAGCCAATGCTTTAATGAGTGTCTCTCACAAGCGCTGCCGGCCTCCACTGTCCCCTGCTCTTAGTGGACTGAGAGCTGAGCCAGTTGCTCAGTGGCAGGGATGTGAAAACTGGGAACGGGCATCTGGGAGTGTGGCAGAGAGAGCTACCAGCTTCAAGCTGACCCTTCTTCTGGCATTCCTAGCAAAGCCACAAGAGGCTCCAGGGGTATGGGGGTTCCAATGGGCGCAGGGTGAGTGCGTTCATGTTTGCGCAGGTCACTGGCACTCAAGAAAGCTTTAGGACACTGGGGACAAGAGTAGGGGCGTACAGAACTGTGGGTGCGGCTATGTTTGCGAAGCCCAGCCCTGTCTGAGAAGCTCTTACCACACTGGGTGCAGGGAAAGGGCCGGAGCTCCGGGTGTGTGCGCTCGTGCCTGCGTAGCAACGTCAGTGTGGAGAAAGTTTCTTTACACTCGCGACACACAAACTGTGGAGGCTTCTCATCGGGTTCCTCACCCCCCACCTCCCCTGCATCTCCTAGGGTACCAGGAGCTTCCCCGACGCCAGCATCCTGGCACTCCACGTGCTCCACAGTCATGCCCACCACTTGCCACTGTGTGGCTACTACACCCCCAGACTCTGCAGGTAGCCCTAGCAGCCCGGCTGGAGGGTCCCCTAGCCCTGCGCCTGCCACGGGGGCGGCTGAGCCCTCACCCACGACACCTACAGGCAGCGCCAGTCCCAGTACCAGCTCCTGCTGGGGGGCAGCTCCTGTAGCCTCATTGCTTCTATGGGTACGTTCATGCTTCCTGAGGCTGGATAACACCACAAAGGATTTCCCGCAGGCATTGCAGTGGAAAGGACGCTCGCCGGAGTGCATGCGGCTGTGCTTGGTAAGGCTAGCTCGCTCAGCAAAGGCTCGCCCACACTCCTCACAGCGGAATGGCCGCTGTCCTGAGTGCACCAATGCATGCCGCTTGAGGTCCCAGGAAGCCACGAAAGTCTTGTCGCACTGCAGGCACTTGAAGGGGCGGTCGCCAGTGTGCACTCGCCGATGCATGGCCAGGTCAGCAGGCTGCCGGAAGTCCTTGCCGCACTTCTCACAGCGGTAAGGCTTCACGCCCTCATGCGCCCGCTGGTGGCGGCGGAAACTCGAGGGATCAGAGAACATGCGGCCACAGCGAGGGCATAGGAAGGGCTTCTCGCCAGAATGCGTGCGCTCATGGCTTTGGTAGGAGCTGAGCTGCGTGAAGCCTTTACCACAAGCCGGACAGCGATAGGGTTTCTGGGCCGCATGGATACGCTGGTGGCATGTGAGGGAAGAGGATCGGGAGAAACTTTTCCCGCACTCAGAGCAGAGGAAGGGGCGCTCACCCGTGTGGGACCTGTGGAGCAACGGAGGCCCTGGTTAGATGGCAACAGACTCACGTGGGACAGCCATAGCCTGTTTGGGCTGCAATTCCCTAAGAGCCGCAGGGTTGCACCCTAGAGTAAGACATTTAGCCGGGCACTGGTGGCACACGCCTCTAATCTCAGCACTTGGGAGGCAGGCAGATCTCAGTGAGTTCTTGACCAGCCTGGTCTATAAAAAGCTGGTTCCAGTGCCGGGTGGTGGTGGTGCATGCCTTTAATCCCAGCACTCTCTGTGAGTTCGAGGCCAGCCTGGGCTACAAAAGCTAGACAGGCTCCAAAGCTACAGAGAAACTCTGTCTCAAAAAACAACAAAACAAAACAAAAACCCCCAAAACAAAGTTAGTTCTAGGCCAGCCCAGGCAACTAAAGAATTCTGTTTTCAAAACCAAAACCAAACAAAACATCTAAAGAGCCATTTTTCCTAGGACCTACCCACATATGTCCCTTCCCTGTGAGTGACAGATACCCCTTTCCGGCTGTACTGGAACCGAGGCCAGTAAGACCCCACCCGCTCTCAGGGTTCCATCTTCAGGAACTTTGCTCTGCCACCCAGCCTGACCTGTCCAACCAGGTCTCCCATTTTTAGGTAAGTATCCACCTGCCCCTTTTCCCATTGGCATAATCTATTAAGATGCTAGTTCCCACTTAAGCTTTCCAGCCGTATCCAGGGGTCTCACCGCTCATGGTTACGTAAGTCCTTGAGCTCAGCGTAGGCCTTGCCGCAGCGCTCGCAGCTGTAGGGTCGCAGGCCTGCATGGGTGCGCCGATGCTTGCGGAACACTGAAGGGTCAGCGAAGCTCTTGCCGCAGTCGGTACAGGCATAGGGCCGCTCACCTGTGTGCCCACGCTGGTGGATCTTGAGTTTAGAGAGTGTACCATAAGCCTTGGGGCAGTGCGCACATCGGAAGGGCAGCTCACCGGCATGGGAGGCCAGGTGCACACGCAGGCACACTGGCTGCATGAAGCGGCGGCCACACTCTGGGCACGGGAAGGGCTTCTCACCAGTGTGGCTGCGCCCATGGCTTCGTAGCTCAGGAGCTGTTTTGTAGGTCTTGGGACACAGTGGGCAGGCATAGGGCCGGGGTTTGGCTACTGAACCAGACACCTTGTCTCCACTGGCTTCCTCGGCCTTGGGCTCTGCATCCACCTTTGGCTGGACCTCATTCACCTCCTCTGTGCAGTCTGTGGGTGTATGTGTAGCAGCATGGCGCGCTGCCCTGGGAGCATTCGGAAATGTCTTTGTACAGAACAGGCACTTAAAACGGCGTCCAGAGCGCTTGTAGCAGGGGCCTGGGGACTTGGCCTCTGTAGCCTCCTCTTCCATGACTTTGGTGAGTGGGCCTTCTCTGCAAGAGAAGCAAAATTAGACCAAAGCCACCCTGCTGTACTCTTTAAGGCTTCCCACTTTACTAAAGTTCTCTCAATATCTAAGGCAACCATATCTTTAAGGAAAAAAATTATTTTTATTTCACATGTATGAAGGTTTACTGACACCATGTCCTGAGGACCCGGTGCTCAGGAAGGCTGTTCCATCCCCTGGAACTGGAGTTACATTTGTTTGCGAGCTACCTTGTGGGTGCTGGGAATCAAACCTGAAAGGCATGCAAGAACAGCAAGTGCTCTTGACCACTGAGTCATCTCTCCAGTCTCACAGGTCACCGGATCATACCAGGACTTCCAAACCTGGGGCTCCTCAGCCCAAACCACAGGACTTCTACATCCTTTATGCTAATGGTCCCCAGGTTTGATACTATGTTCAAGTCTCCCTGGTGATCCCCAGTAAATAAGAGGCCAGAACCACAAAGAGCCAGCTATATTCTACCCCTTACCCTCTCCATTGTCCAACCCCCTGGTATCCCACAATGCCTAGGTCCCATTACTCTCACAATCGTCCTTTCTCAGTTCCAACCAAGACTTTAAGGTCTCCAAGTGCTCAGGAAGAAGGACTTGGGTCCAGAGAGAGGAGTCGATGTTTGGAGGTAATGGGTCTCAGATGTGCGTTACCCTCCCCCTGGTTGGTCAGCTCCTGGAGAAGCAAGCATTCAAAGAATTTTGACCATGCTTGGCTTTCAGGGACTCCACCCCAGTCAGGAATTTTGGTCCATCCTCTGATCTGGAATCCCTTTTAGTCCCTACTCCAAAACTCTAGAAATGGGAGCTCACTCTCAAGGCAGCCTGACCTACTGTTGGCAGTCACAGCTGATGTGTCTGAGCTAGCGAGGCCTCCTGGGATACTAGCTCTTGCTGAGTCCCTACTTTCTGGCCAAGAGCCCAGACAACATCCACACAGCTGCTCCCAGGATCATAGTTGGGAAAAAATAGGATTAACAGCTGCACTGGTCTTAACACCCACTCATCCTCCCAGAGGGATGAATGGAAGAGGATTAGGGCAGATCCTCTTAAGGGGAGCTTAGATGTGGTGCTGGGCAGGGCAGAGTGGGCAAGGAGAACCAGGTGTGCCCAGAGGGTGGCAGGCCAGGCCTCTATGTCCAGCCTTGTGTATAGACCCATGTCCTCATCCAGGAGGATGGAGCTGAACTAAGTCTGTGGTGGGGGAGATGGATGGGTTCAGGGCCTATTCCAGAAAAGGCCTACAGAAGCAGTTTAGCTGGTTGGCTGAGGGAGCCCTGAGTGAGATGCTCCTTAGGATCAGCCAGCCCTATACCAGGAAGCATTTTTTTTGGGGGGAGGGGAGTTTTGAGACTCAAACCCAGAGCCTGGTGCAGGCAAGACAAGTGCGCCACTATTGAGTCACATCTTGGCCTCCTAAATTTCTCCTAAAGGGAAAATCAAAACAAGAACCAGGCTGAGGGTGCAGGAGACTTTGCTAGTCTTGATCCCAAGAACTGCTTAAAAAAAAAAAAAAAGACAGCTCACATCTATTAAGTACCTGCCAAAATCACAGCATCCTAACCTTTTTTATATAGCAGTTCATTGTTACATCAACACCACAAGAAAGCAGGTCCATAGTAACCGCGCTTCAGTGGAACTAAGTAGACTCTGAAGGTCCAGCTTCAACTCTAGCTGCCACCACTTCCTGGCTGATGTGACTTTTGTACAACTGACCTCAGAACCTCAGTTTTCTCACCTGAAAAATGGAGGTAAAAATAGGACTAGCTCATGGGGTCCATGAGGACTGATCCGAACCTGATCTGATCAGTCTTCCCTAAATCTGAGTCGTCTCAGAGCCAGCCAGCTGGGTGTGGCACTTACATAATTCTCACACTGCCTCAAACAGGAACCACTGACCCCATTTTATAGATGAGGATGAGTTGAGTTCTAAGAGTAGAGAGCCCTGTTGAGTCATACGGTTAGAAACTTAACACAGCTGAGACCTGGCTCTGGGCATTTAGAATGTCTGAGCCCTAGCTCAGACGTCTGGGCCTGCCCCAGGGTCCAGGAGCCTGGGCTTGTGTGGCACCCATCCCTCCTTCCATTTTGCTAACACTTCCCTGAGATTAGAGCCCGGAGCCAACAATGTCTCACTCAGACTCATGAGCTCCTATCCTGGCCCTGCCAGCTCTGTGCTTCAGTCTTTCTGCGGGAGGGGTAGATCCGTCCCAAGGCACTTACAGAGAGTGGAGGATCCGTCCCAAGGCACTTAGGAGAAATGGTAAGGAAGCGTTTAATGGGTCCCAGCAGGCACCTAGCTCAGTGAAGAATGGAGAGCAGATCATGCCTCATCTCACCCACTACTTCCAAGAGTAGCTTTCCCCAGTGAGGTCTGACAAAGCCCTGCAGCAAAATCCTCATCTACAATTCCAATACTTGTGAGGACAATGCAGGAAGATTGTTAGTTCAAGGCCAGCCTGAGCTATGGTAGCAAGATCCTGACTTAACAAAAACAAGGGGCTGGAAAGATGGCTCTGTTGTTAGGGATCTTGCTGTTCTGAGGGGATCTTGCTGTTCTGACGGGACCTTGCTGAGTCCAGTTCCTAGTTTCGCATTCAGAGGCTCACAACCACCAGCTCCAAGGAATCTGATACTCTCTTTTGGCCTCCTTGGATACCTGCAGCCATGTCCAAAGGCACAAATAGGTATGTGCATGGGCACGCACACACACAAAATCCTTTTAAAAATATCAAACAAAGCCGGGCGGTGGTGGTGCATGCCTTTAATCCCAGCACTCGGGAGGCAGAGGCAGGCGGATCTCTGTGAGTTTGAGGCCAGCCTGGGCTACAAGAGCTAGTTCCAGGACAGGAACCAAAAGCTACGGAGAAACCCTGTCTCGAAAAATCAAAAAAAAAAAAAAAAAAATCAAACAAAAGCCAGGTGGTGGTGGTGCATGCCTTTAATCCCAGCACTCAGTTGAAAAAGGCGGGTAGATCTGAGTTTGAAAGTCTAGTCTAGTGAGTTCTAGGGCAGCCAGAGCTACAGAGATACCCTGTCTCAAAAACTGTAAACGAAAAGAACCATCAACTAAGGAAGGTGATGTAGAGTGCTACAATCTGTATTTTCAGTTGTTTGTTTATTACGTATACAGTCTTCTGCCTGCAGGACAGAAGGGGGCACCAGATCTCAATACAGATGGTTGAGAGCCACCTTGTGGTTGCTGGGAATTGAATTTAGGACCTCTGGAAGAACACCCTGTGCTCTTAATCTCTGAGCCATCTCTCTAGCCCCTACAATCTGTACTTTTATTCTCTGATATTAAAAAAAAATCACAGGCAGGAGAGATTGCTAAATGGTTAAGGACACTCCCTGGTCTTCTAGAGCAGTGGTTCTCAACCCATGGGCCTGCCTCTTTAGGGGCAGAACAACCCTTTTATAGGGGTCGCCTAAGACCACTGGAAAACACAGATATTCACATTACAATTCATAACAATTATAGTTATGAGGTAGCAATGAAATTAATTCTATGGCCGGGGTCACCACAGCATGAGGAATTGTATTAGAGGGTCACAGCATTAGGAAGGCTGAGAGTCACTGCTATAGAGGCTATGAATTCGGTTCCCAACACCAATGTTAGGCAGCTCCAGTGGGCCTGACATTTTCCTGTCCTCTGTCTGTACATACAAATACACCCAGATTTAGAGTCTTTTTTTTTTTTTTTAATTCTTCAAGACAGGGTTTCTTTATAGCCCTGGCTGTCCTTGAACTCAGAAATCCACCTGCCCTAGCCTCCTGAGTACTGGGAGTAAAGGTACGCACCACCACACTCAGCTGTGTGTGTGTGCAGAGGACAGCTGAGAGTCGGTTGCCGTCTTTCCCTTTGTTGACTGTGGTCCTGTGTACTGTTTCTGTTGCTCCACTGTCCTCCAGACAGCTGGCCAGCCTCCTGACCATTCTGTCCACATTTCATCTCCTCACAGCCATGCCACCAAGTCCAGCTTTTTGCATGGATTTGGGGGGACTTGAACTCAGATTGTCAGGCTTGTATGGCTAGAGTTTTAATAACCCACCAAACCATCTCTGGAGCCCTGCAATCTGTACTTTAAACCAACTCTGTGGACCATTAAGAATCAAACATGTGAGCCAGGATACTTGCCTGACACACCCGAGGCACTGGGTTCTATCCTCAGTATAAAAAAAAAAAAGAAAAAAGAAAAAGAAAAATAGACAGGCAGACACACACACACACACACACACACACACACACACACACACACACATTCCTAGGTCTCCAAGTGCTTCCAGGAGGGAAACATTTTTACTACAACTGTTTTAAATCCTCACAATGCAAAAAGTGCACAGAGCTAAGATGTCCAGAGTCAAAGCTGAACCCTCCCTGCCCTCAAGCGCTAGCCTCTTGAGGGCACTCTTTATTCAACTGCAATCCTTTAACAAAATCCCGACGCTTCCCAGGAAAAGACCAGTATCTTTCTATGATCAGCAAATCCCGATCCACCTCACTCCTGCTGGCCTCTGTTCAGTTCCCTGCTTCCCTCACAGGCGCCACCCACACCTCCTGCTTCATTTTCAGCTTCAATTTCTTCCCACCCCAGGCTGCTTACACGAGCAGTTCTCCTGGTCAGAGCCATGATTTCTCATCGTCTCCTGCGTGTCTGTATGTATTAGCCTCCAGACTCTTCCTTTATTAAGGCTTTCTTTCTTCTTTTTTTAAATTTTATTTACTCTCTCTATGTATGTACACTCAAGGGTGTATGTGTAGTAGTCAAAGGACATCTTGCAGGAGTCAAGCCTCTCCTTTTACGATATGGGTCTAGGAGGCTGAACTTGGGTCTCAAGCTCAGCCATCCACCCCCCCCCCCCCAAGAAGGCTTTCCTGGACACTGGAGAAAAGGCACAGCGTTATGAGGAATTACTCTTCTTCCAGAGGATCCAGGTTTGATTCCCATCACCCACGTGGTAGCTCACAATCACCTATAACTCCAGTTATAGGCACCAGGCATATACTTGGTGCACACACATACATGTAAGCTAACACTCATACACATAAAAAATAAAGGTTTTTCTTGACTACCTTTGTGTGTATGTGTGTTTCAGGGTCTTACTATGTAGCCCAGGCTGGCCCTGATTGTTCCTGCCTCAGCCTCCTCAGGGTTGGGATTGGGATTACAGGCGTGGATCGTGTACTTTGATCACCTACCTTCCTTTGTTTTTGGCAGAACTTGGAATTGAATTTAGGGTGGCATTCATGCCTGATAAGCAAGCGGTCTTCCACTGTGCCACTGAGACAAGGTTTCATGACATAGCCTTGGCTGGCCTGGAACTCACAGAGATATGCCTGCCTGTCTCCCAAGTGCTGGGATTTAAAGGTGTGCGCCACCACACCTCATAGACTCTTTTTCAAAACGATATCTTTATCCTGGCTATCATTATCATGTAACTTCTTCTTTCAAAGAACAATTTTCTCTGTGATGCCATCTGGATCAACTACCTCTCGCAGGCTTACTGCTGTGGACTGGTGTCATCAGCATTTTATACACACCGATCCAGCTACTTAAGCTCTTCTCATAATTCCTACAAGTCTGTTATAGGCTGAACATTTGTGTTCTTAAATTTTGTGTTTGGAAACAAGTTCTTTTCAGAAGTCATTAAAGTTAAATAAGGTCGTAAGGGCAGAGCTAGCAAGATGGCCCAGTAGGTAAAAAGGCGTTTTCACCAAGCCTGGCACCCTGAGTTGGATCCTCAGGACCCACAAGATGGGAAGAGAGAACAGACTCCAGTAAGTTGTCCTCTGACCTCCACATATGTGCTGCCAACACACATAAGCACACACAAGATAAATAAAGATTTAATTACACAAGTTCTTAAGAGACAACACAGAAATGCCAGTAACTGGTCATAGATTGAGCTAGTACTGGAAACCAGGCAATCATATACCCAAATTTCTGCCATCTGTTCCCTTAGCTATTGCTTTATTACCACTAACACATTTTATTATCCGGTTGTGCACTAGGGTCCAGGGAATGTTGTTCTATGTCCAAAGCTGTTTGGTGACTGAGAGCAAACTGCAGGAGGAATTCAAAGCCAGGTCTACAGCCTCCGTCTCTTCCATCGTAGGAGTTTGTAAGATTCAGCCACCAACTCTTCATTAACCGAAATTCCCCATCTTTACAAGGTCATCCAGCCCCAGGATCACCCCAGTACCCCAATTTGTTCCCTGTTGTGATGGAACACAGTGTCACTAATCGCCTGTGAGGGGAATGACATTTTGCTGTCTCTCAAGCTAATGAAGACTCAGTGCCCAATGCGAGTGCAGCCCATTCCCCCATCTCTCCAAGACAGCAAACAGGCTACCAGACCTTGGGCCTTTTGATGAGTTGAAGGAACTGTGCTGGGGTGAACTCAATGTTTCATTGTATCCTAGGCCTTTTGAGTTAGCTCAAAAATGATCCCATTTATGCCGGGCGATGGTGGCGCACGCCTTTAATCCCAGCACTCGGGAGGCAGAGGCAGGCGGATCTCTGTGAGTTCGAGACCAGCCTGGTCTACAGAGCTAGTGCCAGGACAGGCTCCAAAGCCACAGAGAAACCCTGTCTCGAAAAACCAAAACCAAAACAAAACAAAAAAAATCCCATTTTCCCAGCCAGTTTCTGGGGCAGTGTTCCCTCCGGTCAGCAACCTACGTTCCATCCACAATTGACAAACTTTACCACCTCCATAAGCAATTCCCTTTGCCCTGGAGCCCTCTTTCTTTTTTCCCACGGAAAGATTCTTGCATGCTTCCAATGCTCCATTCCCCAGTACTCCGTGCCCTCGAGAACATTTAACGAGCAGTAAAGATGAGGGATGCGTAGCTCTCTGGACCTCAATTTTTTTCAATCGAATGGGGCCCCTGAAGCAAACGGGAGTTTGCAGGGAGGTAGGGCCTACCAGACTCTCTGAGGAGGGACAAGAGCTGCAGAAACCCAGCGCTCCTCGCTCTCTGCAACCGTGTTTGTGCGGGTGTCCACGCCAGACAGGCAGTCCCCGCGGAGCGGGGCTGGATGCTGACTCATTTGGGACTAAACCCTAGGATAACGTGGCCTCGGCGAGCGTAGCAAAACAGAATGAATGAAGAAGGAAGGAATGAACAAATGAATGGACAGAGGAGCGAGAGCAGGACAAAGGCCTGCAAAATGGCGTTCTTTAGGACCGCGGGAGGGGCGGACGAGACCTCGGACGGGGAGGGGGGCGCGCAGACGCGGAGGACTTGACTAGGAGGCCCTCGCCACACAGACAAAAGCCCGTAACATGGCGGACTCTAGGACCCCCGGGCCCGCGCGGTGCAAGCCCGGCAGTCGCGTCCGCCGAGCCTAGACATCCCCAGCGCTGACCGGCGGGCACCGGGCGGGTTCTAGGACCTGCTGGGCCCGCAGCCCGCCCGAGACCGCTCACCGCTCGCCCCGCCCGCGATGCTCGCGCCTGGTCAACTCCGTCCGCTCGGCATCGGCGGGGAGACTGAAGGCAGCTCAAACCGCGCTGGTGGCCGCTGCCTGAGGCCCTTGCGACTTCCCGCAGACGCGTCCTACCTGGTGCGACTTCCACAGGCTCCGCAGCATCGGCAGCGGTGCCCAGCACCGGCAGAGCCCGGGACACTCGAGGAGGGGCCGGCGCTAGGACCCAGCGGGAGGGAGGCTAGGGGCGGGGCCGGCGGCCAGACAGCGGAAGTGGAAAGGCGCCTTCCTTGCTCAGGAGGAAGGAAAAACTTACGGGAGCCACCCCGAGCCTCCAGTAGCAGAGAAGTATCTCGCGAAGGGTCTCTGGGTGCTAAGGGGATGGGACGCCAGACCGAT